TTTCCCGGGGCCGTGGCTGCAAAGGCGCTGCAGCCCCACCTGCCAATAACATGCAGTGGCGTAAGATTGTTGTGGATTTATCACCTTGTTTTTAAATTAAAGACATTTCTCGTTGTCACTGTTAGTCCCCTCCCGAGGGCATTTTCCCGGTGGTGTTTAGAGAGCTGGAAGGGCCCTGGCCGGTTTGACTCCGTGGGTAGAACCTGGACCGTGGACTGAAGGTCCCGGGTTCGATTCAGGTTAAAGGCACCGACCCCGTTGCTGGCTCCACCCCCCGCCCGGAGGGCACGAGTGGGAGGCAACCAATGGATGTGTCTCTCCCATCGAAGTTTCTCTCTGTCTCTCTCCCTCCCACTTTCTCTAAAAATAAATGGGAAAATGTCCTGGGTGAGGATTAACAACAGCTGCAAAGGCACAAACCAGAGAGAGCGGGCCACACGGGCCTCGGCCATCACTTCCTAACGACCATAAGCCATGGCTAGCACCCCTGCCCAGCCCTGACAGTGTCCTGACAGCACAGATCAGCCTCCACTTCCCTAAAGTGTCCAGCGGGGCCCCCGTATCAGGGAAATACAGACACTAGATCAACAAGACGATTGGGCTCGCTGGCAGCTACAGCGAAGATGATAGAATGAGGTTTGATGTAGAGGCGGGGCAGGGGGGGCGGTGGGCAGGTTACCCAACAAAATGCAGGACGCCCCTGCAGTGGCTGCAATATCGGGGGCGTGCTCATACTAAAACAACATATGCCTGTAGCATATACATACGTGTAAAATAACATGCACCTAAGGTCTATCTGGAATTCAGATTTCCCTGGTCACTGGGATGGGTCCTGCGGGCAGGCCTTTTTGGTAAGGTGACAGGGGAGCTGAAACGTGGATGTGCGGCCGGGGGTCAGAGACCAGCCAAGCACTGGATGTGCCGAGGGAGGGAGAGAAGGCCGGTGCGGCTGAAGCGCGGTGAGCAGGGGGAGGGTTGGGAGCAGGGGGGACGGCAGAGCCTCAGGCCGCAGGAAGGAGTCTGGACCCTGTATCCCAAGGGCAAAGGTCAGCTGTTTTAAAGCTGGGAGTGACGCAATCTGACCTGTGTTGCTGGAAGTCACTGCCGCTCTGTGCGGGAAATGGGGTGGGAGCGAGGGAGAGAGACAGCCGAGACCAGGCCCAGGAGGAGGCTGGCTTAGGGCCATGTGTCGGTCTGCGTCTCCAGGAAGCGGTCACAGAGAGTTGGGGTGCACACATTAATGGGGGTGGGATGCCTGTGAAAGACAAAGGGGGAAGCAGCTGCGGGGGGTGGGGTGCAGCTCTGACCCCTGAGCAAGGAAAGAGGTTTGGCCACAGTGGATGCAGAGGATTCCTCCCTGGTACCCGAGGCCGAGGCCGAGGAGAGGGGGCTGCGCAGGCGGAAACTCGCGGAGGCCCCTGTTCGCCAGCCGCTGCGTCGGGGAAGGTGTGAGGTGGGAAACAGCGCTCTGGAGAGTGACCGAGAGCCTGCCAGGCGGGCGTGGACGGCCGGGGCCTGTGATGCTGCGTGGGTGATGCCACCCAGCCTGGGTCTGGGACTGTCCGTCTGTGCAGGCCCACAGGTGACGGCTGGGAAGGAGGCAGAGGGAGGGGTGTTTGCGAGGAGCAGGTCTAGTGGGGCCTGGAGTCGGCACTGGGTGAGGAAGGGAGTGGGAGGGGAGAGGACAGCGGTCAGGTCACGGAGAGGAGGGTGTGAGCAGAGGAGAGTGGCTTGTGTGAGCCTGAGCGCTGGTGAGAGCCTGCCCGCGGTCCCCGCAGCCTGCCCATGGTCACAGCGCAGACACCTGGGCCGGAGCTCTCTCCTCCAGTCTGGGCACCTGGGTCCAGCACCATCTCAGGGTGCAGGGCCGGGTGGGGGCTCTGACCCAGGCCCAGGTTGCAGCAGGAGGCGCCCTCGAGCCTGCCCACCCCATGGCCCCTGCCCTGGGAGGAAGCGCCCAAGAGTAAACAGCCAGATGGGCCCGCCCAGCGGGTGTCACATTCCTCACCGACCAGCTTCCCGGCATCTCTCCCCCACCAGCTGGCTTCGCTGAGGATGAGGGAGCTTCGCCCCCCGGGGTCATGTGTGTGGGGAGTCCTCACCTCTGCCTGCCTCCTCCTGGGCTGCTGGGGCCTCCCGGGTGTCCAGGTGGTGAGTGGGCAGGAGCCCGGGACGGAGCTGCCAGGGCGCTGACGCGGGGCCTGAGAGCGGTGGCTGCCTTGGCAGAGCGGGGTGTTCTTTCAGCTTCTGGGCTCGCTGGGCGGATCTGCGCCTGGGTTTACGAGGACGCGGGTGCTCCTTGGAGAAGGTGCCCCCCCTCCTCCGCGTGCCCAAGTCCCCTCACTGGGTCTTGCTCTGGCCCCGCCCACTCCCTGGGGTCTCCCTCCCCTCACCGTCCTTTCTCTCCCACAGGGACTGCTTCAGGCTTCGGAGCCCCAGGAGGTGACTTCCCACTCAGGCCCTGATGCTACCTTCAGAGGTACTTGTCCTCGCGCTGCCCTGGCGAGGGGAGCTTCCCAGAGCCTGCGGGGTGTCTCACTATTGGGGGGAATAAGATGTTGGGATCTCCATTGAGTTGGGGGCTGGGATGTTGGGGTCTCCATTGAGTTGGGGGCTGGGATGTTGGGATCTCCATCGAGTTGGGGGCTGGGATGTTGGGGTCTCCATTGAGTTGGGGGCTGGTACGTTGGTATCTCCATTGAGTTGGGAGCTGGTACGTTGGTATCTCCATTGAGTTGGGGGCTGGATTTTGCTATCACCATTGAGTTGGGGGCTGGGATGTTGGGATCTCCATTGAGTTGGGGGGCTGGATTTTGCTATCACCATTGAGTTGGGGGCTGGATTTTGCTATCACCATTGAGTTGGGGGCTGGATTTTACTATCACCATTGAGTTGGGGGCTGGATTTTGGGATCTCCATTGAGTTGGGGGCTGGGATGTTGGGAGTCCTGCTGGGGGAGGCAGAGCCGCAGCATGGCCCCTGTTCATGAACTCCGTTACTTCCTGTGAAGCCCCTAGAAGCTGGTCTGGGTGTTCTGGACGGAGCGGGGCTCTGACCCCGGGGCTCTGCTCAGTGTCTCAGGGCACAGCCACTTGTTGGCTGGTCCCTTCTGCTCCTGGGCCTCCCGAGAGCTGACCAATTTCCAGGAACCCTCGTGGCTTCTGGCCGTGGATGTAAATATTTATGCTTCTGTGAGAAGCAGAGTAGGCGCTGGCCCCATCCCAGCCACAGCCTTCACCCCCTGCCCCCGCCCTTGAGGGCCTGCCTGGATCCTCCAGGACCCGCTCCTGTCTGAGTAGGGCCCCTGGTGACTGTGATCCAAAGTCTGGTGGGGACCAGAGGTCCGGGGGCTAGTGGTCATGGGAGAGAATCAGGGGGGTCCCCTTGTAGCGACTTCCCCGTGGTCAGAGACACACTGACCGAGGCCTGTGCTGCGCTGGGGGTGGGGTGGGAGGGGCAGTGGGGAGACCTCTGTTTCTGTAGGACCGGCGGGGCTGTGCTGTCCTGGGCTTTGCTTGGTGACCCTGTTCTCCACTGTGTGTCCAGTGTGGGGTTTTGGGGTGACCAAAAGGACATAAACGCCATCACTGGCTCCTGCCCAGGCCCCACGCTGCTCCCGAGGCCCCGAAACGCATGGTCACTATGGGATCTCAGCCCTGTCCTGAGGCCCAGCAGCTTCTCTGCTGCTGGCTGCCCAGGCGCCGCGGCTCTGACAGTCACAGCATCCGCGACGGAGAGCCTGGGACCTCTAGCCCCTGAGGGGTCAGAGGTCACGATGTCCTCAACTGTTTGTGGGTGTCTGAGGCCAGGGCGGCTCCAGGAGGCCGGGCAGGGCTGTGAGGGGAGGGCACAGGGCAGGCCACTCACCCAGCTGTCACTGTGCCCAGCAGGCAGGCGCTCTCATGTCCTCCCCCCCCACCCCCCCGCGTGGGGAAGCTGGGGTCGTGTGGAGAGCGGCCATAGCGTCTGGACAGGTTCAAGCCTCGGACTAATGAGAGGGCAGGTCCTCTCGTGGCAAAGCCACGTGCAAGTCCCAGCTGGAGGGCAAAGCCCTCCCAGCACAATTACAGCCAAAGGCTGTGGCTGTGAGCTTGACCTTATGGTCCCAGGTGGCTCAGTGATGTGGGCTGCGGGAGGTGCAACCAGTGCTGCCAAAACAAAGCTTGATAGAGTTCAGGTGCATGCAATTGAGTAGATTCGAAACCCGCGAGAACGTTGTAAACATCTTGACCTCGCCCTTACTTTGCCTCGTGGAATGCGCTATAAAATAAAGACTTGGCTTGTAGTCTGTGGCGTCCCACTCAGGCAAGTGCTGCCAAAACAAAGCTTGATCAGGTGCATGCAATTGAGTAGATTCGAAACCCGCGAGAAAGTTGTAAACATCTTGACCACGCCCTGGCTTTGCCTCGTGGAATCTGGCTTGTAGTCTGTGGCGCTGTAGCTAGCTCTCCATCAGAGAGAGGAGCGTCCTACCCACACCCAGCTTTCCTCTCTCGTCTGTCTGTTCTCAATGCTTCACCCCCTCTCAGGCTCACCGAACGTGGCTGAGCTGGCCGGGCCCGCCCACTCCCTAAGTGTAGGTGGCAGAGACAGAACT